CCCCCCCACCCTGAGAATTTTCTTTAAAAATCATATATTTTCACCATTTTCCTCATTTTTTTCCAACATGGAAACCCCCCCCCAGGAAATTTGGAAAACCCCCCAGGTAGGTCTCTGGATCCGCCACTGTTCACTATACAACCAGATAATATATACTGTACAGTGTGTATATATTTTGTGTGCAATTATGCACGTCTTTCGTTGATTAAAGTATTCGTCAGAGAAACAACATAATAATGTCTTTAGAAGAAGTTTTTAACTTATTTAGGTCAGATATCAATTATTGTTTTTTTCTATTATACATATACTAATTACGTAATCAGGTACAGGAACTACAATAGTAAAACACAGAACATAAATAGCGTTTGTATATAATTACACTTGTACAACCGCTTCACTGTAAGTACCTCCCAGGTCGACAATCATGTATGATCCGCCCGGCCGGAAGGCGTCCGTCACCTCACGGTCTTGGGAGTCGACCAACGTGCCTTCTGGGAGGGAGCGACAATAGACCGCAGCAGCCTCCGGCTCAAGAGCAATCTGTAGGTCTGCTGTGGGGATTCCCGCCTAAGGTAGACAAAACAGAATAAACGCTAATAGTGAAACGTTCTCTGTTTTCATGTCAGTTTTCACCTGCCTTTTAGGCTGTCAATAAGCTTGGTGTTGGAATCTTTAATGTTAATGAAGAGGCGAAGACAACGCTTCTCTCTGACCTGTGTTCATTGGTACGTTTATTACATGTATACATGTACATTACGTCAACAAACAATCTCAACTGTAATCCTTCTTATTGCATTTTGCTATGTTGCGTTTCCAAGCACGAACAAAAAAGCGGCATTCTGTTGAAATTGGATTCAGGTCAAATATTACAAAGATTAAAATGAATGATACAATGACTAACATTCCCATTTCACTATCATCTAGTGTGACTGTTTACCTCAGTTGCTGCCTCGCGCATGAACTGTTTAGCGGGCTCGGTCCAGATAGCCGGAATTGTGAGCACCCAGTGGATCATGTCCTTGTTCTTCATAGGATTCCGTTTCTCAATCGTAGCCACCACCTCATTGCGCAGATACCGGATGCTCTCAGCGAACACCTTTTTGGCGGGAAACAGGCGCCCAGCTTCATCCGTGATTTCTAACTCGCGTCTCAATATCTGTGTGTATAGATGTAATAATAACCAGTTTTACATTTTTTTATGTATGTTCAATACAAATAGTTATACATTAAATAACGATGAAAGAATGTTTTTTGTGACATAAATAAAAGTCGTTTGTATATAGCTAAAAGTTAAAGTTATTTGGAACACTGGGGATCTGTATTCCATCTCACCACAGGGGTTCGTTACAAATGTCTGAAATACACATATATTATACTGATATGAGTCACAACACACTACATGTGTGCTGTGACCCATATCAGAATAGCACATGTACATGTGTGCTGTGACCCATATCAGTATGGCATATGTACATGTGTGCTGTGACCCATATCAGTATGGCATATGTACATG